TTATATAACCTTCTTCGCTCTTGTGCCTAAAGAAGTTGAGTAATGCAGAATAGCAGAATGAAAGTTACTGGTTTGCTTGACTGTGGTTTTGTCGGGTTTGGAAATGTGGAACCTTGTGCTAGAACTACCACCACCTAAAAGGCTTTTTCCCTATGTCCAAGACCCTAGCCAGTCATTTGAACCTGTGTCTAAGACCTCTGGATTAGTTAGTGGTGACACCCCCTTATGTGAACTCTAGCATTTAGAGGCTGCATTCATGGTGAAGAGACTTTAGGGATTGAGAGAATAAGCATGCGCATTTTTCGCATCAAATTGTCCTGACCCCACTGGTCGAGAGTGAGTGATTCATTTTCTCATATTCTCTATACTCTTTACCCTGGTGAGGACCTAGATTGCTCGGTCTTAATTCTGATATCTTGAGCTTTGTGCATGAAGTGACTGTTTTGAACAAGTGATTGAGTCAAGTCTATGTTGGTTGGTGAACAGGAGAGAACTCTTCCTTTGCTCGACTTTATTGAATTCGAATGTCATCTGTGGTGGTTGTCTAGGTTGTCGTTCGAGTTGCCATGTGTTGATGATCGAAAGCCAGTATGATCCACGTGTTTTGTGCCGATATGATTTGCCCTAAAGCCTGCTTGATTGAAATGTTTTGAGCTTACCTGGTGTCTGACTTGGTTTGCTTAGGGACAAGCAAACGGTTAAGTGTGGGGGAGTTTGATAACGATGTAATTGCATGATTTTATACCCCTATTTCTTATCCATTTGCGGAGTATAGTTGTGTGTTTTGGCCTATTTTACGTCGGGTTGTGCTACTTTGTCCTATTTCAGGTCCCAGGCGTCGAAGGGAAGGCCAAGCGCGAGTTTCGGATCATTTGGAAGTCGTTTGGGAGAGTCAGGACCAAAACACGGGCAGAAGGGCTCAGGAACACGGCCGTGTTCCTGGCCGTGCTTTTACTGCCGAGGGTCTCCATGTGTGGGCTAAACCAGCTAAAAAACACGGGCGGGGTCAACCAAGAACACGGCCGTGTCCCACACAGAACACGCCCGTGTTTTCCCCAGGTCGTGCCCATGTAATTACCACGTGGCAGAGGGCACGGGCGGGCTGGACCAGAACACGGCCGTGCCCTCGACCGTGTTCTGGCCAGTGATGCCCTATTAGGCAGATTTCAGCCAAAAAGAGAGGGGATTCGAGTTTTAGAGAGACAGAGCGATTCCTAGAGAGAGAAAGCGACGAACAAGAGTCTCCAAGTGCCCTAGCTTGATCTTCATCACCATTGGAGCTTGGCTTGAGCTTGGAAGAGTGCCGATCAACGTCCAGGAGCTGAAATCCATCCTTCACAGTATGGTTTCCGCATCTGATTCTGCTTTTGCTTCTTTCTCCATGGAGTAGTTCTCCCATTCATCTGGGTGTGGGAAACCCTAGATTTGTATGTTAGGATTGATTGTATGAACCCAAGTACTGTTTCTATGATTTGATTATATTTGATTGAGGTTTGAATGATTGAATGGCATGAATCCTGATCAAATTCCTGTTGTTTCTGCTTTAACCTAGAATGAGAATATCTGCCTAGGTTGATAGAGCATCCTTAATTGAAGGTAGCGAATTGGTGACTTTATTCGAGGAGCCAATTCGCTATTCTGTACCGAAGTCAATTCGGTAGTGGAGGTTTGGTTCGTTAGGGCCTCAATCTGTTTACTCCGGTGGAGGTTAGTCACCCACTAGAGACTCAGATTGAGAGGGTCTGAAGACCTTTAGTCGAGACTTCAGACTGTTTGAGAACCTTCCGCAGTATAACTATCATAGAAATTGAACTTGGTAATTACAATCCGGCTTAACTGCAGTCTAGGGGGAACCATATCCGGGTGACCTCTCTTAACCTGAAAACAACCGTTTAGTTGCTTTGCTTGCTTGTTAGTTTAGACCTTCACTAAAGTTTCATTGCTAGATAATACGAATTCACTGAGTAGTCATCACATCTAGGACCCGGGTTGACATTGAAACCCAAACCCGCTATACTACGCTTTACGAAGTGGTTTCACTTGGCCATTTTCTAGAGTGACAGTAGGAGTGAGTCACTCTCCCACCGCTCGATTATTTTCCCACCGGCCCATAGTCCCCTAGCCCCTCCTTCCCTCCTTCGATTCGATACAAAAAGGTACGACGACCAATACCAATTTCTTTCGACGAGGCCGGTGGAGGAGATGAAACAGAGCATCCGCGTCATTGAGGTGGAGGAGACGAAGACCACGATTAGATATGCATCTACCTCTTTTCCCCCTCCTCCCAATTTTACATTTGGGAGAGGAACCCTCTTCCTAAATCACCTCAAACCTGCAAATTATAACCAATAAACATAGGTAAAAGGAAAAGAGAATATGTTGGTGCTGCATGATTATTGCCGGAGCTCTGCCTCAGTTGGCAGCTCCGACCTCAGCCATTTCTACTCTACTTGTCCTTCTCATTCCACTTCTTCTTCTCCCTCTCAATTAGGCTTCTTCCTTTCGCATCCCAACATCAAACCCAAGCCTTCCTAATTTGATTTCAGACCCAAAAACCCTCGCCCACAACAAGTTTCTTTCATCCCCACTTTCCCATTTCTTCTCTACTATTTCTCCATTGCTTCTGTTTACTGTAGGGTTGTCAGTATCAGTGAATGATTTCTTTCATTCGCCCTTGTTGGTGAACCCTAGTAATGGAATTTTGAGTTTGGGGAAATTGTTGGAAGGTGTTGGTAGCAGCTGGAGTATCAGCAGCCATTGGTCAACTGTCCAAGTCTTTCACCTTCATGCTTATGTGTCGTAAAGGCAACGCCTCTTCTTCCTCTTCCGCCAAAGAAGGCGACCCTGAATCAGATGGGAAGAAGAGTTATGCGGCAGCGGCAGAATAAGGGGCAGGGAGTTGGATCGAAGAAGATGAAGAAAGGGATTTAGAGAGACGGAGAGTTCATCTCTTTTTTATGTAATTATTAATAATAAAAAGATAACACATTTCCACTTTTTTTTGTAAATGACGTGTTGTCCACCTATCAGTGATTGCTGAGGTGGAAACGAAAGAGAGGGTGAGTTGGCAGCCAGGTAAGCGTTCTGTTAAATTGACTAACGGTGTCACTAACTCCGTTAAATTATGTAATGAAAATGGCTATTATTGTCATCAAGCTTTCAAATTCTGGCTATTATTGGTATTTCCTCAAAAGTGGCTATTATTGTCACAAACGTCAAATTTTTTGCTACACAGATGAATTTTGCCTTTTTGTTTTCCCGACTTCCAATTTTTCTTTCCCTCTGCCATTTCCTAATTTTTATTTATGGTTTTTATCATTCTTCAAATCCATAACGAGAGGTTGAGACTGATGCTGCAAAAGCACAGAAAGCAGCAGCTAGCCCTGTTCCTGAAAACAATTGAGTCAAGCGTCGCGGTTCTCTTGCGGCAAAAGGACGAGAAAACCGCTCGCGCGGCGAAACGTGCCACAGAGCTCGAAATGTTTCTGAAGAAGCTGGAGATGGAGAATTAGGCGTGGCAGAGGGATCTCTCGGACAGAAGATAGGTTAGACCATTGGGTATTGAGAGAGGTAGGTGGGTTGAGTGGGGATGGTTTGGAATGGGGTGGGTCGTTTGGTTAAGGTCAATTATTTTATTATTAATTTTGATGATGTGAAGAGCTGACTAGACTAAATTAACAGAATTTTGGATGAAGAATAACGGAATGACCATTTTGTTATACGCTTAAACGTTTATTATCAAATCGTGCAAAAATAAAGATTTGTGACCGTTTTGTACAAAGTGTAAAGGTTTGTGACCATTTATGATAAATAGCCGTAAAATTGACCTTGGAAGTATAAAAAACGAAACCAAGGAGGAAAAGGAAGGAAAATCACAGCCAGTGCTTCAGAAACTACCATCATGATTCCCATAGTATCTGACAGTGCAAATGAGACTGAAAATCATGACAGACAAATAGAAGGCTTCCACCGAATGGTGTTAGAGTCTGATTGTTGTAGTAGTCGGGATCGCTGGGTGTAATGGAGTTCGAGGCTTTTCTCCTTGTATGTTTTTTCTTGAAATTTTTCGGAAAACAAAATAGTGCACTTTGATAACAGATTGGATGAAAATATGATATTATCATTACCTTCCATAAACTAATGGGTTTCAATAATACGAGTTGTTGGGAGAGGCCAATATATGGTACTTAACTACTTCTTTACACGTCTTCTTAAATGAAAGCCGATTCATGAGTTTGAAGTTTACAAAGGCCTCCCCGTACCAAGTGATTTAAGACAACGATTAATATTAGGGGTCGTGAGGACCTGAACACATGACCTCAAGGACAAACCACCTCTGATGTCGAGTTGTTGTGAGATGTCCATGTATAATACTTAACTACTTCCTTACATTATCTTAATTCTCAATATAATTATTATTTAACTTAAAAACGCTATTAAAGAATTTTATTTCCCAACTTTTAACCTTTGAAATCCGAACCTGCTTCTAAATTTGTACGCTGTCATTTCCATTATCGGGTGGAAGAGACAGTAAAAATAGGAAAGCCAAAGAGAAGGAAAGTGACGTCTGACTTTTTGCGACGAGATTAGTGAGGTGGAGAGACTGGTGGACTGAAAGAATGATTTGTTAACAAAAAGCCAATCTCACCGACAGAAAGGGGTTCTATAGCTGAAAGAATGATTTGTTAACAAATTTGTCACATAATACTTTTTTACATATGCTCTATAAATACTATAATCGATTTGTATAGTACAATATGTCCAATTGTCCGGTGGATCGTCATTCTTAAATTACCAATGAGTACTAATCACATATATAATCTTTTTCCTTAATTTTTTGCTTTTTTGTTTTGGTTGTTGACAGACATGGAAATAAACGTTAACGACCTGACCTGACCTGACCTCCCCTCAGTCGTTCACCTTCCTTTCCATCCTCTTAAAATTATATCACTCCCACTCTCGCCTTCGCTTTCGCCTCTTCCACGCAAATAGAAAATCCAAACCTCAACCTCTGAGATTTGATCTCTCTCTTGATGTTCCTTCTTATTACACGCCAACAGAGTGCCTGACCCAGATCTCCTCTGGGCTGCTCTTTCTTTCACTCTACGCGTTTTCTCGTTGTTTGATTCCATTCATTCACTCACATTCCCAGTAAGCTCTCCCCCCCCCCCTTGCTGTTTAGCCTATTGCTTTGGTTCATTGGAATGCGGAGTAGACTCGTGTCACGGATCTGATTTGCCAAATTCCCATCTGGGTATGGATTCGTTTGGCTGTTCCAATGATAGGTTGGATTCGCTTTCGTGTTTAAGATTCTCTCGAGTGGTGTGGGCAATTGCGATGGATTTTTTTTTTGTTTGGTTTTGGGGATTTGGTGTTCTCAATGCTAGTAGGATTAATGAGCTTCATTCTCTTCAAATCTCATGATGCTTTACTTCGTCTTTGATTGCGTAATTAAAGAAGGTCATTTTCCTTTTTCTTTTCTACTTCTTGATTGCCAGCTTAATCAATTCCTTTTGAACTCCTTGTTTGCCATTTTTGGTTTCCTTTACTTGAATCGGTTGGATCCTATTAACTAAATTAATTGCTCAGTTTGCCTGTTCATTTTCATGTATTAAGATGGGGTAGTTAAGTTTTGTATGCAGTTAAGTGTGCCTTCATTCCTTATCGACAACACATTGCTTACTTGATGGATCTCGATCTTGTAACACAAGTTGCACTTTTGTGTCCATAATTAGTCGTCACATCTTTGCTATTAATTTAATGTTCTGCTAGACGGTTAAGTTGGAAGCTTTCATTTGTTTATATTAGCAGATTTAGCTTTAACTCATCAAGTGATTGATTCGTGGCTCTTACTTAGTGCTCTATAGTTGACATATGTCTGCAAATGATTCTACTTCCCTAATTTCCCTTCACCTGTTTTTCTGTTGGGCTCTTACAATTCTATTGCTTTCACCCCTTCTTTATCACAGGTCTTGGCTAAAGGGCTTCTGTATGATATAAGAGCTCCTGGGAATCTGAATTTACCGTTGTTTACTTGGGATACTGAAGAACATAACAGCTTCAGACCAGTAAGATCTGCAGTGATCTAACTAATAGTCAACAGAGTCAGCTAGTTTAAAGATCTATTAAGTAGGTAAAACAATGAGAGGAAGACCATATGGTGCACAGAAGAAGCGTTTGATAACTTCTGTCTATGTTCTAGCTGTCTTTCTTGGGTTTATTTACTTCTGCTATGGATCCGTTTTTGGTTCTCAAGGTCGTGGTGCATCTGCTCTAGAATATGGAAGCAAATCCTTGCGGAAACTTGGCTCGTCTTATTTGGGCGGGGATATGATTCAGACAAAGAGGATGAAACTAGATTTGGTCTGGAAGATGGAGAGAATGATAGTGTCCCAAAAAGCTTCCCAGTAAGGGCTTCCACCACGAATTAAGCTTTTGGCATGTCAACTTTCTTGCTTGTCTATGTCTACGGTTCATTTACGTTTATTTATGGTTCTTACTATTAGCATCCAAATCGTTGTAGTAAATGTCTCTAATTCAACTTATGCTGGCTTTTGAAGGTTTGTGATTATCAGCATTCAGAACTGATTCCATGCTTAGACCGAAATCTTATATATCAGATGAGACTGAAGCTGGACTTGTCTGTAATGGATCATTATGAACGTCATTGTCCTCCTCCCGAAAGAAGGTTCAATTGCTTGATTCTTCCTCCACCAGGGTACAAGGTGATATCTGCTTAAGTTTTAAAGTCAAAATGTTCCTAAAAATATTTGCTTTGTGTGGATATCTTTCCAACCCCACATGTAGCAAAATAAAAGCTTTATCATTACTTATTATACCTGTGAATGTTGCAGATCCCCATCAAGTGGCCAAAAAGTAGGGATGAAGTGTGGAAAGCAAACATTCCTCATACTCATCTTGCACATGAAAAGTCTTATCAGAACTTAATAGTTGTAAAAGGTGATAAGATAGTATTTCCTGGCGGAGGCACTCATTTCCACTATGGAGCTGACAAATACATTGCTTCTATTGCAAATGTAAGATAGCCAATTCTTGCTTATTCGTTAGACCCAGGGAGAAGATTTTAGTACATTTTGCTTAGTTCCTGCCCAAATGGTCTGCATTTCTAGACTGTTTACGATCTTTTTGTTCCACATGTTTTTCAATTATCATTGTTCATAACATTTCTCTTTTTTATTTCAATTTTGCATATGCTAAACTTTTCCAATAATGTACTGAATGATGATGGAAATGTAAGAACTGTTCTGGATGTTGGCTGTGGAGTTGCAAGTTTTGGGGGTTACCTTTTATCATCCAACATTATCGCAATGTCCTTGGCTCCAAACGATGTTCATCAAAACCAAATACAGTTTGCCCTAGAGAGAGGTATTCCTTCCTATCTTGGTGTTCTTGGGACTAAGAGGCTTCCATATCCGAGCAGATCTTTCGAGTTCTCCCATTTTTCCCGTTGTAGAATTGATTGGCTTCAGAGGGATGGTATTCTTCTTCTTGAACTCGATCGGGTACTCAGACCAGGAGGTTATTTTGCATATTCATCACCCGAGGCATATGCACAAGATGAAGAAGATCTTAGAATATGGAGAGAAATGAGTGCCCTTGCCGAAAGAATGTGCTGGAGAATAGTTGCGAAAAGAAACCAAACGATTATTTGGCATAAACCTCTTACGAATGACTGTTACATGAAAAGAGAACCTGGTACCCAACCTCCTCTCTGTCGTTCTGATGATGATCCTGATGCAGTTTGGGGTGTGCAAATGGAAGCTTGCATTTCACCTTATTCTAAGTGTGAGTTCCTTTCATGCCCATGTTCTCCTCTCTTATGCATATCCTGAGATCTTTCCCATAGTCATTCTGTAGCATTGAGCTAACCATGAGGTTTTATTCTCTATCAGACGACCACAGAGTGAAGGGCAGTGCACTAGCTCCTTGGCCAGCTAGATTGACTACCCCACTACCAACACTAGCCAATTTTGGTTATTCAAATGATATGTTTGAAAAGGACGTGGTAAGTACTTGAAATATCCATATTCAAATCCGTTGCTTTCCCCTCAAACTGAAAAGATGTAGTATGACAACAAGCTAGAATTGAACATGAGTAATGTTTTGTAGGAACTCTGGAGACGGAGGGTGGAGAGCTACTTGAATATCTTGGGCCCGAACATTCAGTCAGATACCATAAGGAATGTAATGGACATGAAAGCAAACTTGGGGTCTTTTGCTGCTGCACTTTTTAAGAACAAGGATGTATGGGTTATGAACGTTGTCCTAGAAGATGGACCAAATACATTGAAGGTGGTATACGACAGGGGGATGATAGGCACCATCCACAGCTGGTAAGTAATATTCAACTTAAATTCCAAGGCATTCTTCTTTCTCTATGCTTATTATTTCTTTTATCCATCAGTTCGTTTCGTTGGTTGGGAGGGTGATACATGCAATTGCTTTGTTTTTCGTCGACACTTTAGATGTATTTGTTTGCACTTTAAATTAAATAGCATGCAATTGAGATTAACAACAGTGATTTACAAACACACCTATAGCCTATGGGGATTCGCGTGATTTACAAATGCACCCCGCTGAATGCTTTCCAACATATCCATTTGACAGGTGTGAATCCTTCTTGACATATCCTCGGACATATGATTTGCTTCACGCTTGGACCGTGTTCTCTGATGTCGAGAACTAGGGATGCAGTGCAGAAGATCTTCTGTTGGAGATGGAACGTGTGATAAGACCCAGTGGTTTCATTATCATACATGACAAGCAAGTGGTGATAGATTACGTGAAGAAGTATCTGGTGGCATTGCACTGAGAGGCAATTGACTCCTCGAGCACAGAACAAGACCAGGATGGTGAAGATGTTGTCTTAATCGTCCAAAAGAAGTTGTGGCTGACCAGTGAGAGCCTTAGAGACACAAAGTAGTAGCTAGGGGTGGGCAACGGGAAAGAGGTATTTGGGTATACCAATACCCATCCCGTTTTTTGAGGGTTACAGGTACCCAAATATCCGTATTTTTTATACGGGATGGGACTTGAGATTGATGATTTCTATATTGGGTACCCGCAGGTTACTCGTTAATACTCGTTTGGGTAGTACGGGTACCCGTAATACCCATTAGCAAAAATTCTCTATTCAATACTAGACTCATAAACATGATCACGTAGATACTTAAAGTCGATCATGAATCTCTTCCACATTATCATACCAGTAGGAAAATAAATTGTTACAACCGAATGAGAAAATGTCGAGTCCTGAAACTTGAGAATATGCATAATAGGATTCCAGGCAAGGTTTTCCCTCTTGTGGGGGACGATAGTTGTTTGTATTAAGCAGTTGAGGGTAGTTTTAATACTTAATCCATCCATCTTTAGCAACCAATATTACTGCTCCCTTCTCCCAAAATGCCTTTCTTTGATCTATAATTTTGAGTGAATTTGATGATAGTTTATTAGTTTTCAGTGGCAGTTTACTTGGTTATATCTTGTGATTTAGATGTTATCATGAGTGTCTTATGTTTCTGTTTGAATTGTGATACCCGCATTAATAAACATGCGATATAGTTGGACGGGTATATACGGGTAATTTGGATACCTGTTATCCATCCCGTACGGGTTTGAGACATGGGATGGAGTTTGCTCTTCAAATGGGATTGGGTACCAATTTCAAATGGGACGGGACCCGTCCCGTCCCGTTGCCCACCCCTAGTAGTAGCGCGAGACACAAGCCCTTCTCAGTAACTCCAACGACGCATATATTTTTCGAGCGAAGGCCCCAACACTATGGGAGGAAGGAAGGAAGGAAGAATGCCACAGTGCTGTGACTAGCAAGACAGTTTTCCCATTTTGTAGCTGGGAATGAAGTTCCACCCACCATATCCCTTTTATTTTTGGTCCTTGTAATGATTCTTCAATTTGATAGCATGGAACTGTAAGCCATCATCAATAGGGGCACTACTATTCTTCAAAGATTGGTTCTTTTTTGCTGTTTGCGTTAATGAAAGCTAAGAATAGTTGCTGAAAACCTTTAGTACTCTTCCTTGTCACCAGCTCATTTCCTTCTGGTGCCAGTGGGAGGCTAATAACTAAGTGGCCCCTATGCATTGCATTACAGACGCGGTTTGTGGGAATGGTTGTTTTTCGAGCGCAGCTGTGGAGTGGAGAGTGGGGTTGTAAAGTGGATGAAAGAAAGGGAAAGAAAGGCCAAGAAAATAAAACACAAAACAATCAAACCGCCTTGGCACATGCTAATGTCCCTTTGCATTTGACTCCGGGAACCACTTATGAAACCAAACTTGAGTTGTTCGTTGTTCTTCTTATAAAGTTTGATTCGTACGGCACTCCAGTGTTCATTTGCTCTCAAGAAAAGACTGACCATTTCCAACAATGCCTTGGCACAGTAGTACATGATTGGTTGATTGACTTTATAAGATTGTATGAAATAATCGATTATTTGATAAATCTTATTATTGAGATTGGGTGAAATAATATTTATGTACGTGAATATAATTACATATACGTGAACAATTAATAGATTTGTGTGAGAATATATAGGTTTCATTAGGGTTGTAGGTCTGCTCCTAGATATCCACTAATCTGATCCGTCTCGACCTTGAAGGTTGGCCGAGTCAGTTTGTATAGATGATTAGCTTGTGATGGGTCATTTTTTTACCATGTAAGGGTCAGGTAGGTTGGGCCAACTTAGTATCGGGTTGCTTTTTGGCCCTATGACTCATAGCAACAACTAGTGATTTGAATTTCTTTGTACCAACATATTGGACCTGTTTGTAAAGTTTTAAAAGTTTAGGTACTCTAATGCAAGGTAAAAATATATATAGGTACTAAAATCTAATTTAAATACCAAAATTTATGGACTTGTTTGTAAAAAAACAAAGTTTAGGTAATAAATTATAAGAAAGATAACTTTGGCTTACAAAATATAATTTTAAAAAACAATATGTTGATTGATTTGAGCCTACCCAACCAACCCAATCTTAGAGGACCAAACAGGGTTAAGAAGGAAATAGAGACCGCACGAGCTAGTTTTATAAATGAATTCTAAGGAGACCGGTCAGACAAGATTCTTACAGGATCAGAGGCATATTTGACATAATTTCAGCGTTAAGTTTCGTTTCGTGAGGCAATCTCACGGCGAGATAAGAAACCTCTCCCTTCTTTCTTTTCTAAGTCCCATCTACCTCCAAGGGAATCATATGCCCTAGTTCTTCCACTCAATTCAATGTCCAAATCAGCTCAATTCTATTCTATTGTTCGAACACATCCATAATTTGGGAACTCGGCTCCTCTAATTGAACAAAAAACAAACTTTGTTCATCATATGGGTTAGTACTGGTAATGGACTAATGGTGTTGTTGGGGGTGTTCTCAATTCTTGTGGTGCATTTGCCCACCCATTTTGTTTCCTAATTTCAACCCAACAAATTGGGTGGCATAAGATTGACAAGTGGCTAACAGTTGCATCTCATTTTTGATAAATGATAATGATGCATGTAATTAAAGGTAAAGTTGAAGTTGAGGTTGATCACTTCTAATAATAATAATAATGTGATCACAATTAATGTCCCTTTTGTTTTTGCTTATGCTTCTTCTTCCTTTTGCCCATAATGGCATTGTATTTGTATATTTTGCATATCTCAGTTGGGGCTGGTCCCCTCTTTTCAAACTTTTGCCCCCGTCCTACTCCTAATGGAAACTGGCCTCCAACACCAGCATCTTGCTATTTTCTTTGTTTATTGCAGCTAATATAATAACAATCTTGTTATGTTGTTATTTTAACGAGATGAAATTGATTTGCTTTTTGTTACACAATATTTAAGAGGGCCTGCGAGGAGGAAAGGTCACTATGGTATTCAAATATGAAACTTCCAAGTTGAAAATCAATGATAATATCGTTTGATTGAATCTTTGTTCGTTCAATTTGTCTGTAGATAAGTTTGCTTCTTTTGAATAATAGTCATGCCCGCCTCTTATAGTTAGGGCTGTTAGTTTGGATTTGGTTTTTCAGTTTTAACCGAAACCAAACAGATAAAAAACTTAACGGTTTTGATTTTTAGGTTTATACCGTTTAGCATCTTAATGGTTTTGGTTTTGATTTATAATTGGAAACCAAAAGGCACCGATAAAATTCTAACAAGTTAATACCCATCAACACCACGTATTGTCACCAACTTATGTGTAGTAGACTTTTTTCTATCTTCATGCCTCCTGATGTCTTTTCTCACTCCATTTTTGGACCTACAAAGTGTTTATGCCTGGAAAGTACCGGGCGGTTTGCGAGGCTTCACAGTCTCCGTGCGGTCTTGGGAGGATGAGAGGCGACCTTCGAAGTCCTGCAACAAAGGTCGTCAGGGGAGCCCTGGGACCTCCTCCGATGCCTAAGTTAGTGAGAGAAGTGGATAGAGTGAATAAGAGAGAGAATGGAGTAGATAGAAGTTACCCTAAATGTGACCCATGAGTTGGTATTTATACTAGCGGACATCGGGAAGGGGACAATTAAACCCTTGTCGGGCGTCCAAGGTCGCATAAGGACCTGTTCTCAGGAGGCTGTCAGGACCGTACCTTTGTCAGCCTCCGTACTGAGGTGTCAGAGGGACGTTAGGCCCCAGTGTCGGGCGGTTTCTCAGAGTTCCGTTGGGGATGTGTCAGGCGGTTCTTTCGGGGAGACCGCCTTCGAACCTCTTATTAGCGTGCTCTGGGTCTATTAGGGCCGGGCTCGATTGTTTTGCTGGGCCTTTTGTAGGTCATGGACCTGTCGGCCCAAGAGACTCCATGGTTGGCCCAACATTTGCCCCTTAGTCGTGATGATCGTTAGGTTTTCGCGGCTAACTGATTTTTGTCGCCATGGAGCGGTCTTGGGTCGCTCGGCCTATGATTATCTGCTTGCCCCTGGCCGCGGAGGCGTGTCGTTCGAACGCCTAAGGGGCGGCTTTACCGACTTGTTTGTACGATGGGCGGTTTTCAACCGCGCTCGGTTGTTCCACGTGGTGGCATCGATTTTCGCGTCCTGACAAGGTCAGGCTTTTGCCCCTTGAAAGTTTGCTTTAAATGGGGAGAGGCGCACTGTTTCCGCCATTGTGTTTCTCCATTTGCGGAAAACACTCCGTCGTCTTCCTCTTTGCGTCGTCTGCAACTTTCTGCGGAGCTCTGAGCTTCGCCGTCGTCGCCCCTCTTTAAAAGCCCGATTGCTTGTACTTTCGAGGTGAGTTTCGGAGCTTCTTTCTCCTTTGTTTCTCGCGTCCTCGTTTTCCTTTGACTTGTGTGCTTTTCTTTGGGTTTATTCCGGCTAGGGACGTCCGCCTTTCCCTTTTCCTCGTCGGCGCTAGATGTCGAGCGGAGGCCCAGCTTCGTCGGCCGGGATAGGAGCGCCTCTAGCTGCCGCCACGGAGGTTGTGTCCGATGCGCCCACTGCCCCCGAGGTCCGCATGGGGAAGCCGCCGTCAATGTTCATTGCTCCGCCGCTTTCCCCTGCCGCCGGGAAGAAGTCAGTGGGCACCTCAGGCGGGTCCGCGACCGCTGCGCAAGGTATGGCTCGCTCTGCCCCTGTCCAACACGCCTCTGATTGCGTGTGGGATTTGTCTGGACTTGAATTGTACTTTGGGGGTGGTTCTGAATTGGACGATTGTCTGATCGAGGACGCTTTAAGTTTAGATTTTTCTTTTGCTAACATCTGACCTGTACCAGTTGGGGTTGTGGCCACTTCGTCCGCGGTTGGGGACAATCTGGGTGAGTTTGGGGATTTAGACTTAGATAGTGATACGCTGAATGTGGATGATGCGGTTGGTAGTGGTGAAGAGCG